TACTTCAAAATAAGATATGTGCAGTGTGCATAGGAATTTGTTCATAGTTTTTTTTTAAAACTATAGTCTGGCCCTACAATGGTCTGAGGACACAGTGAACTGGCCCCCTGTTTAGAAAGTTTGAGGACCCCTGATCTAGCCCCACTTGGCCCTGGACTTTCTCACTGGCTAGAAAAAAATGTTCTTACAGTTATCAAGTGCCCTATTGCCACGGTCCCCGTCAGTACTGTCTTCACTGAAGTCCAGTTCCACTCTTGCAGACGTCGAGCCTCCTCCTGGCTTGCGTGGAGCCCAGGCTAAGGATCTCATGGGTGAGGCAGTTGGCTGCTGGGATCAAGGTTGTTTCCAGGTGCAGGATCTGGGAGTGGTGTAGCCAGGTCTGAATGCCGTCAGCAGGGCTACAGTGTATAGTCCTTTCCAAGTTGGGGTTGTGCTGGGCTGCATATCTGGTGCTTTGGCCAGACGGGTCATGCTGTGCTGTCTGTTCCTAAAACACATAGATAGGAAGGTACTGACATCAGGCCAGGCCTTGAGATATGGTCTCATGGCCCCTTCTCAATATGCTGTACTCTCTGTTCCTAAAACACATAGACAGGAAGGTACTGATACTATACTGTGTTGGGAATTAAGGTTTTGTAACTTCGTGGTTTTTGCAAATAAAAATGCTGTAACTCCTATAGTCTGCACTGCAGTTCAGCCTCTGCTTTGGTGGGGTGCTGTAACTGTAGTCGCTGGCACGCTGAAGTGAACCCATAACAGGGTGAGTCCTTGGGTCCTGAACTTCTTTACCCACAGTAAGTCCCCAGGCTGGAAAGGATGTACAGGGTCCGAGGTGGGCACTGGCAAGGTGTCTCGAACAAGATTATGGGTGGCTCTATGGGTATACTGCAAAGCCTACAAGTACTTGAGCAAGGAATGGTTATGACTTTTAGCTTCTAATTCCTCCCCTAACTTTGGGCAGGATAGGGGGAGGTTTACCAAACATGATTTCAAAAGGAGAGAACCCCTCCGATTGGGGGTACACCTGGCCTGTAAGTAGGCAAAGGCAGGAGGTTGGTCCAGTTTTCACCGTTTTCTGGGATAAATTTAGTAAAAGTCCTTTTAGAGTCCTCTTCATACCTGCCCTGAATTTGTGGCCAGTATGCACAATGGAGTTTCCAATTTATGCCTAAGACCTTAGCTGTACTTTGAGATACCTTGACTACAAGGCACGGCTGTTATCTGATCCTATGATTCTGATAGCCCCAATCTAGGTATAATATCCTGGAGTAATTTCTTGACCATTGTAGAGGCAGTTTCTGTCCTGGTGGGCTAGACTTCAACCCATCCTGAGAAGGCATCTATAAAAACTAGCAGGTACTTATACCTTGATGCTGGTGGCTTAATCTTTGTGAAATCCACCTCCCAGTGCTCTCCTAGGGAGTTTCCCTGGGCCCGAATCCCCAGGGGAACCCTCTTACCTTGCTTAGCATTTACCTGTGACCTGCCTCACAAAAGTTCAGAAGTCTTGGTTTCACCTATGTGGGTAGCCTGGTATAACTGGGCAACTAAAGTCTGACTTAGAGCCTCTGGGACCAACAGTCTGCCATCTGGTAGAGTCCACCAAGCAATTGGTCCTCTGATAGCTTGCTTCTGTTCTGTCAATTCCTCCTCTTGTAAAGGCACCACTGGTTTTTGGGCGGCTTCCTTGGCAGGTTGGTACTGTGTGCCCTGGTGTTTGAAATCCATCTCTCCGGAGCACCTTGAACGAGGGCTTCCACAGCATGGGGTGTTGTCAGGGCTAGTTCCTGGCCCAAAATCAGCTTATCTGCCTCCTTTACCAGCAATGCTGTGCCGGCCACTGCCCAGAGGCACGCTGGCCACCCTGAAGCCACTGGGTCTAGTCTCTTAAACAGATAGGTCAAAGGTCTCTTCCCGGGACCTAGAGTCTGGGTGAGAACCCTTTTGGCAATGCCCCTTACCTCACTCATGTAGAGGTGGAAGGGCTTCCTGACATCTGGCAAGTCTAGGGCAGGTGCTGAGATGAGAACCTTCCTTAGCTCCTCAAAGGACCATTGTTCCACTTCGGTCCAGATTAGCAATCTCCGCGAAGGCCAGTATCCACAGGCGGCAGTAACCAACTGCCCCTAAGAATTCCCGAACCCAAGCTGGAGTGGCAGTGGCTTGCATTTGGACTACTACGGGTGCTTGATGACACAGGGGGGGTTGTTTTCTGCCCAAACCATGGGAAAGAGACGTAATTTCCCCAAGTAAGCAGAGTCACCTTGGCCCTTTCCTGCAAGGTATATTCATCTGAGAGAGGACAGGTTAGAAGAATGGGGCCAGGGGAGGATGGGTCCGGGCCTGGGTTCCTTGGATCCACAGTGAAGTGTGCTCCGTCCCCCTCAAAGAGTATGGTGCCTTGCATCTTCTGTAAGAGATCACGTCCAAGAAAGGGGTATGGGCAAACTGGCATGACCAGAAATGAATGTGTTACCGTGTTCTTTCCAAGGTCCACAATCCTTTTTGATGTCCAAGGAAAAGGGCAGTTTGTCCAGTGGCTACCTGGACTGATGTCTTCTTAGATGATTCAGGTTTCATTGGCTCTGTCAAGACTGAATAGGCTGCTACAGAATACACCAGGAAACTAACTGGGAGTCTTATAAAAATGATTATTCTGGGCTCTAAGGGGTTCAAGGAAAAGGAGTCCTGGCCGTATTAGTTCCCTTCCCTGGGTGCAAATTCTTCAGAGCCTGGGTTTTCCCTCAGCCTTACGCTTTCCTTTGTTAACCTCCCAGGATATTCTCTCTTCCAGTGCCCCTATGTCCTACAATAGACATACTAATGCCTTCCTAGTGTGCTGCCAGCCTTTTCTTTCCTTTAGTCCTATTTCTCTTCCATGGTATCCCTATTGTTAAAGACTTTCTGGGCTACCTCTACCAGCTTTGACAGATTCATTCCTTCAAATCCTTCTAATTTTTGGAGTTTCTTTTATAGCCCAAATCTAGCTACTGCCTTTTTAAGTCCCCCCGACCCTGCAAACCCCCAACAGAACACTGTGAAAAGTGTCCAAGGAGGCCTTGTCCCCGGGGGTTCATGGGTCTTATTGGGGTGCTGGGAGGCACAAGGATGCACAGGGAAATTTTCCTTCTCACCACTTACTCAAAATAACCCCTCAAGGGATGAGAGGCAATTACAACCCCAGTGAGCAGAGGGTGCGGTAGATGGGAGCCAGATAGGTGGAGGCAGGGAGTGCGGCGCAGGTCCCCAGGTGACCAGTGGAGGTTCTCCTGCTTCCAGGTAAAGGTATTTTCATCTGGCAGTCCTTTTCTCTCTGTTACCCCTGGAAAAAGCGCTTGCCTCCAGCCAGCAATGGTGGCATGGTGGGGGCCAGTGGCCCTTACGCTGGCCAAGTGGAAACACGCCCTGCATATTACAAAGTGCTCCTGTGGCAGTGGGTTGGGCACCAGGCCCCTGACATTGTACCCATCCCCTGTGACAGAGCAGCGATCAGGTCTCTCCCAAGGGAGTACACTGGAAGGGGATATCAGCCCCTCCTCTGTTAGCAGCAACAGGTACTGAACCCTTTCAGTACATTTGACCTGCTTCATTCTGCCCACCTTTCTAGATTCCAGGGCCCATTGTTTTCCTTTAACCAGCAAGTCAAATGACACTGGCCTGTATTATTTCCCATTGTGAGTTAGAGGAAGACAATTCCTGTGGAAGAAAATGACTCTTAGCCGGCTTGGAAAAGAAGGCAGAGGATGACAAGGGTGTGCAGGGAAATTTTACTAAAAGCCTAGAGGGTCTCCTGAAAGATCCTCAATTCAGCACAGGCAGGGGGCAGGGCCCATAAATTCTCTCTGCCCTGAGGAATGTCCCAATCAGACTAGAAAAGCCACAAATACCTTTAAATCTATTCTAGAATTCCAAAATTTCAACCCAACAAAGAAATATCACAGAGCAAATCAAAGTCACTAGTACACAAACAAAAAAATTTTTACTAGTTAGGCGGGCCGATTCCACCTCTGACAGAGAGCAAGGACCCTTTGGGAAAAGAACACAGCAGCCTTTTGGGCCCCATCCTTAAATGTCCCAATCAGACTAGAAAAGCCACAAATACCTTTTAAATCTATCCCAGAATTCCAAAATCCGTGTTTTTTTCCCCACAGACTTCCACACTTACATGAACAAATAATTATATCTAGGTCGACATACAAACATCAAATAAACATCCACACTTGCACCCTTTCAGTGAACAAGTACTTTTACAGTTGTGGGATCTTGAGCAGATAACAGGAACACTGCCCAAGTCCCCTGATGGGGGCCTGACAAGAACAGATGTGGGGGCCTTTGGCTGGGGGGTATAAAGTCCCCATTCTTCCTCCCTCGGCACTGCTAAGGACAGGATCATTGGGGAAGTCTCTTCACGGAGGCAAGGCTGTGCTGAGCCGTCTGGGGCAAAAGTGGTTTCTGCTTCCATTTTGGCTAAAAGGTCTCTGCCCATTAGAGGGACCAGGCCAACTGGCAAATACAGGAGTTCATGAACCACCTGGTGGCCGCCTAACTGACATCGGTGGGGGCAGAAGAGCAGTCTGCAGCTGTGGTCCCCGTAGCTCCAATAATGGTGACTTCCTGTCCTGAGAGGGGAGTTACCTTCTGAATAACTACCAAGTGCTCTGCCCCTGTATCAACCATAAAGTTCACAGTCTGGCCCCCGATTTTCATTTCGACCATTGGCTCATGGGGGCCCAGTTGGAAAGAGCCCAGTCTGTCCTAGTCAGAGTCAGCTGTTGCCAGTCCGAGGAGGTCTGCCTCAGGCGGCTCTGGCCAATAGCACCTGGGTGGTTTGGATGGCCTTGCCAGCTTCCTCTGGCCTGCTCCTGCCCTGCCTGCCTCTTCACTCCTGCTACTAAACCTTACTCTGTCCCCTCTTACACACGCAGAACCAGACCCAAGGCTGCAAGGTTTGAGCAATTTTAAAATTCCTTAACATACATTCTAAGACAGTCGAGTTTTGAGGAGGAGCTATTACCCATGTTGCAGGGAGGGACCGGGTTGCCTCCTCCTTAAAAAATACCTGAATAAAAGAACTAATCAAAATTAGACTTATTTTCTAACTTTGTTTGTCCTTGGGTGTGGACAGAAAATGACACTAATCTACTTGTCCCAGCTTACTGGCCTATCATCCATTCAACTTTCTTTCAACATTTCTCTTTTCCTTCTCATCACATACACAACCTTCACAAATTTCACACTTTCAAATTAGCCTTCAAACCTTCTTTCTATGTCCTTCAAAAATGCATAACCATGCCTCAGACCTTCCATTAAGTAGTTCTCACTACCTTCCTCCATCACACCAAAGCTGTACATTCCAGTGAGTTAGAACTCTTAGCCTTAATTTTTAGGTGACATGTAAATAATTAACATTCCTCAGATTAGCAATACATTCATTTTTTTTTCTTTTTTTATGTGGGCACAGTTTCTAGATGTGTAAGGAGAGGTGTGAGAGAGAGTTGAGAACTACACTACTCCGTAGGAGGTCGTTGCAATTACGCTCAATAAAGAAACACAATCTCTATGTAGAAAAAAATGATGAGCCAAAATGTGCAGCGAACTCTACAGGACAAGTTAGGCATATTAGCTCATTGTCATTTTATTTGCTCATTTCTAGAGCAAGCATTGACTGTTCAGTGGAATAAAGATGGGGACGGGGAAATAAGATAAAAATAAAACAATGAAGGATACATTCATATTTTTAAGAGACACAAACAGAAATTTCACTAGCTAAACAATTTTAAACAACAAAGACACATATTTAAACAATAAAGACAGATAACATTCCCAATTTACCATGGAAACTCAGGAGATGTTCAGAAGGTTTTTTTTTTTCAAGGGAAACAAAACAAAACAGAAACAAACAAAAACACTTTTACACAGGCGCGCGCCACATTTACACCACAAAATACCAACAAATGAGTTTCTTAGATCAGAAATCCATTCACACAATCCCCCAAAAGTTAAAGAGGAAGGAAAGAACCAATCAATGTCCTCCAAGAGGATTTCAGCGAAACAACAAAATCGACAGACTAAACACATTGGACTCACAAATACATTGGACTCACAAACAAAAACAGAAACCAAAAAAGCTCACAAACAAACCCAAAACCAGAAAGGCTCACAAACAAACAAATCCAAAATCAAAAACCAAGAAAACCAAGGCCAGAAGTACCCTCTGACGTCTCAGGGATACCAAGGAAGGAGAAGTTAGGCCGCATCCAGCCCTTCTCACAATCCACCACCAGTGACCAGTCCCAGAATTCCAGAACTTACCTTTGGAGGATTTTCAGGTGACTCAGATGAAATTTTTCTTTTTTTTTTTTTTTAGGGACAGGCAAACGTTCCCTGCCCGTTTGCTGGATCCGAAAGGAGTTCTCCGGGGCCCTGGAACTTCTCAGGTTGTGCACCCCTAGAGACCCTTCAGTCTCCATGAACAGCTCAGGAGAGATTCGGCCTCCCTTTGCGTCTGAAACAGCACCCCTAAGGGTCTGCATCTCACTGGAGCCTCCAAATGTTGTAATGTACCCTGTGAATCACAGAAAGACGCATCAAGAAGTCGAATTAAAGAGTCACATTTATTGCAATCTGGGACTATGAGGGGCCATTCCCTAAATCTCATAGTGATAAGATGGTGGCAAAACCAGACTTATATAGGCAAAGATCACAAAGGTATTGATTACATCTCAAGGTTTGAAATGAGGAACCTGGTTTGAAAAAAGCAGTTTACAGAAGCAGAATTAAGCATGTTAATTATAGTTTAGGGTCTCGGGGTCACTGAATTGACAGAAATGTATTATCTAGAGCCCTTGGGTCTGGAATGAGGAACCTAGTTTGCAAAAAGCAGTTTAAACAGCATGTTATAAGCACATTAACTAGAGCCCTTGGCTAACCTGGGTTAAACTTAGGCATGTTACAGTTTTGGGGCTAGAGCCTTCTGACCTTGGGATAACTGTGCTGTCCTTTCCAGGTAAAGGAAAAATGTGCTTTCTAAGATCAGTCTGACCACAACCCATGGGATATTCACATTGCAATCAATAAGGCATTTAATCGAATGGGATGATTTCTATAATTCAGAAAATAAAAATAACTTGTCCATTTTTAAACAAAGCAAATAGGTACCATACTTCAATTGTAGAGAGGTATAAAAGACATCAAATAAAGGAGAGTAGAAGAGGGAAGCTAGTGGGGTGGCATTGAGGGAGAGAGTGAGTAAATGTGTGAGAGGAACATGTGTGGACATGTGTGGTGTGTGTAGATATGAGTGGGGGGACAGGTTGGTCTTGCAGGATACTCAGGGACTGGAAGATTGGGGTCTCCTGAACAGGGAGCCCCTGATACTGCCACAGGCACTCTCAGGTCAGCGACGCTCTGGCACAGAGCCCACACCATATTGAAGGGAGTAGCAGCAGAGGCCGGAAATGCAGCCACACCAACAACCAGACTGCCCTCAGACACTATCCCAAAGGTGTGCAGGGAGCCACTTACCAGACATAACCCCTGTGGTACCACCACAGGTCCCCTGCAGTGAGTGGTGCCCTACTGCACTGCCAGCTACATGATGCCCAAAGTTACTGAAGGCCAGAGAGACCTCCCACACTGCGAATCAATGCCTGAGATCCTAGACCAGCTCTACCAACCCTGGGCACCAGAACCCCAGTGCTCCCAGACTCAATGGTCTAGAACCTGAGTTGTGAGTGCAAGGCAGAGGGACCTCTGCACCCCTTACCGCCCAACCTCAGGACTGCACCAACTACACACCTGCTGCAAGCTGGGGAACTGCAACCCGGAGCCTCAAACAGTCTCAAAATCAGCTCCTAGGGTGCTGACCAGGGTCATTTGGTCCTGAGCCCACCCAACCCCTATGACAGCACTGATGGTGCTGGCCAGGGACTCTTGCCTGATGCCTTGTCAGGCCCCCAGGCCCAGGCTAACAGGGAAATCCAGAAGGTACTAGGGCACACCCTGTCCCAGACAGCAGGGCCCTTCAGTGAATTGCATGTCAGAGGCTCTGCAGCTTCACAGAGAGTTGCACACCAGGGTATCTGTGCACTTGTCCCCAGCTGACCCTGAGGACCTGCACCAGACAACTGAGGGACCAGAACCGTGGAGGAAGGGAATACAACTCAGAGCAGAGATATTAAAGACATGAGTCTCAAGGTGAAAAGGTGAGGGCTACGCCCTCCATCTTACCCCAGATCCTCCATTTTTGGGCAGCAGCCTTAGCCATGTGCTCAGCAAGAAGCTTCTTCCCAGAAGCCCAAGCCTCTGCTAGCCACACCTAGGATTTCTTTAAACTAACCAATGATAATCAAGGGAAGTGCGCGCCATAGATACGACCACATCCTGTGTAACAAGACACCACCTTGTGAATGGCCTATCGGCAGGGCCCACAGTCCTCTCTCTTCCCTTACTTCAACCCCCCTATAAAACCCCTCTCCCCACAGAGCTCACTCTCTCTCGGCCACTTGCCACTCTGTTGGTGAGTGTGGTCGAGGAGCCGAGCTAGCTCGAATAAAGACTATTTGCTTTTGCATCGGACTTGGTTGGCTCCCTGGTGGTCTTTTGGGAATCCGGAAATCTGGGCATAACATTTGGGGGCTTGTCCGGGATCCCCAAGACCCTTGAGGGGCCCTGATCCGGAGAGTCTGACTGGCCACAGTAGGTGTCTGTGTGTAGTGTATTCTGTTCTGTGTATTACATGTTCTGTCTTGTGTGAGCTAACTTCTGAAATTCTGTAGTGCCCAAAGCAGTCTAGGCGGACACATTGCTGAAGGACCATGGGCAGGGAGTCGGAAGACGTTCTACTCTTCAGGAAGGATGTGGATTCCCCTCACAAGGTTTGTGGCTTCCCCTCGAGGATCTGAGACGAGGCAGGTCACTCCTGCCAGTTGGTGTATGGCCATTGTCTAGTTTTAGGTTTTGCTTCCATGGAGTTGGAAGACTTTACTTTTGGGCCCTTTAGTTGTCTGTGTTTGTGTTTTTTTCTGTGGACTTACTGGACGAACATTATGGGACAGACTCAAACTACTCCTTTAAACATTATGGTCCTTTTAAAGTCAAGGGCTGGGACAAACCTGCTCGCCAGCCTCAGGTGTGGTTTTCCAGAACCCCTGCAGTGAGCCTTAAAGCCTAGGGAGCGGGCCCGGGTGGAGCTGCCACAAGTGCAGATCTTGGTGGTAGTAACAAATAATTTAAAGTCCATCTTGTAATTGAAAAGTTTTACAAAATTTAAAAATGCATCCGGAATTTCTGTGCACTTGTAAAGAGAAAAGTGGCTTGAAACTAATGCGTGCATCGTCTGATTTCGGATATTAGATAGAGTTTTGAGCTGGAATCTCTTTACAAATGTACAAAATAAAACCCCAAGACTGATTATTTCCTAGGAAAGATGGCAAATTTTACCCAAAGAAAAAAAGATGCTGGCTTTATTTTAGCAGCAGGATTGGCATTTCCATAATAAAGAACAGTTTTTAAATGCTAAAGAAGGTTGTTAAAAGGTTGACTTTAAGACTGAAAAGGAAATTCAGTAAAATTGTCTCTGTTATGGGAATTTGCTGAAGAATATGCCTTAAAATAATAATTTGGATATGAATCTCAAGAATTATTGAAATATATTAATTATAAAAATATAAGTAGCCCAGATACAAGGTGGCTATGCCCTTTAATTAAGCCTGGCTTCCCAAGGCAATTTCTAATGGAGGAAGGGCTAGCCTCCCTTCTCCCAACAGAACAAGCAGGTAGGCAAAAATTTCCCAGAAGTGACAACTTCTAAAGACAGGTTTGCTTCCCAGTTTCTCATCCTTGGGAGAAAGAATGTAACTAATTTGCATTTTAATGGTTACCTGTTTCCAGTCAATGGCAGCCCAAGTTTTTGCGAGTTTGCTACATTAAATTAGATATTTGAAACAACAAAATGCTAAAATATTAATCTAAATTTGCCTCATGAAAAATCTAGAGGACAGAATTAATCTGTTGGTTGACTATGTCTTGCATTTTTGAAGTTTATTCTTAAAAATGTTACTGATTGAGAAATGCTAAATATTTGACTTACCAGCTAAAAGTTTAAGGTTCAGATTGA